AATTTTTTTAATAATTAAATTTACATATTTTTTAATTTTTATGTAATTTTATATAAATTTAAGAGGTAAAAATATGATACATTAATATATTAGCGCACAAGAGAATGTCTAATTAGTAATGGGTGTTGCACGAGATGAGAAGAATCTTTTCCCTGAATGGCTGGAGGAGTAATCAACTCGGCTTGGCGCGTCAGCTTGCTTTGCCCACGATTCCCTTCTCTTTATCTCCCTCCTCACTCACTTCTCTCACTCTCTCTTTCAGACTCAGGCCTCAATCTCTCTCTACGTAAGTCCTCCCTCTCTCTCTATACTATCGGATATGTGTTCCTTACTTTGATTCTCCCCCCAAACTCTCGGAACTAATTTTTTGCCGATAAATCGCTTGATGGGTATCTCCAATTTTATCTCTTTACTTGATCATGATTTTGGTTCCACTGTTTCTCTCTTCTTTCTGTTATTGATGATGGGGAATCAGAGTCATTTACTGGATTTTTTTTTTTGTATTCTTGTGGAAACGTTTTTTCATTTGGTCGGCCCACTCAACTTGCTGTTTGAAATATTGAAAACCCAATTAAATGCACAATCTTTAGTGTCTCAGCTAAAGAAAGGCACAATTTTTATTGAACCCTATTAGCCTTTCAGATTTTCTGGTGTTGGAGTATCAATAATTGAACTTGCATTTTGTGGGGTCCTTTAGACTTTTAGATGTTTGTTTTCTGTTAATTCATCTTCTTTGACTTTTGAATGATTGCAGTAAAAGATTGTCAAAACTGTTAGCCATGGAAGGTTCTAAAGTTGGTCTTGTAAAGGATCTGCCACTGGGGTTGGATCCAACAACCGAGGAAGAATACACTTCTCAGTCTAACTTACTTGAAGAATTCACTAATATCTCCAACATTGATAAAGCATGGACTTTTAAGTCTGGTAGTGGTATGAATGCTAAACTCAATTTATCTATTTCCTTCTTAAACTCAATTTAACTTTGAGTTCTGACAGTAGTATTGTCTTTTGGCACAAATTTTTGGTGCAGTAACAGACTCCCAGGGAATGTTTTTAATTAGTCAACCAAATCTTCTGGCAAACAAAAGGAGAAAGTTTATCCTTTCCACTCAAATTACAAAAGAAAGTCCCACCTCTGTGAATTTGCAATGGGCTCCCTTTCCTGTGGAGATGACAGGAGTGTCTGTAATTGTTCCGTCGCCATCAGGAACCAAGCTTCTTGTAGTTCGCAACCCGGAAAACGAATCTCCCTGCAAATTAGAAATTTGGAGTCAGTCTCAATTGGACAAGGAATACCATGTTCCTCCAACTGTTCATGGCTCGGTGTATACGGATGGATGGTAATTGATCACATACAGTTTTGATACTTGTCTTGTGATTGTTTTAGTTCGGATTTTTCTTAGTAGAAGAAGAGAAATAAAAGCTCTAGCTTTTAAATTCTAGTTTGGATGATATAGTTTAAAAGACCTTTTTGGGATATAAATGAGATTTTCAGGGTAAAATGAAAGAGAGGGGAAAAAAAAAACAGAATAATTTCCCATTTATTTGTGGAAGCTCTTTCAAGTAGAGAGGGGAAAAAAAAAAAACAGAATAATTTCCCATTTATTTGTGGAAGCTCTTTCAAG